ACGTTTCCATTTATCATCAAATAAACGGATCCCAATATCGATCGTTTCGTAGTTGTATCAACAGCATAGTCTAGATTACTATATTCACGTAGTTTTAGTTTCACACTAGAATCATAAGTTAAATCATCGTTAACCAACCTTATTAAATATTTAAAAATACGTTTAAATGAACTATCAGAGTTTTTTTTGAATAACGAATGACAATATTCATAGTAAATGTTATATAAGGCTTAGTAATTCGACTTACGTACAACAAGATTTCAATTGCTTCTTTGTATGGAACTTCCCCTGCTTGCAATGATCCTGACGAATTTGAATTTAATGAATGTTGTGGATCTGCAGAAATATACAGTGTATTTGCTTCTCCCATATTAAACCTTTCTAAAATGCGCTTGCAAATAATATGAAGATTGATGTATCAAAATTGCACCATCAAATCTCTGATAAATTTCAATCTAAGAAATTATCAAACTCCCTTTCCTTCGTCTCGAAATTATTTTTTAAATAGGTACTTCACCATCATATCTTCTAACTTGTCGTTGGTTAGACCAGCAATTAAAAAAATAGCGACAGTCAATAATTGATTGTTTTCAATGCTTACGAATACACAGGCTTCTGCTTTTGTTTTTTTTAGGTCAAAGTTCATCAACATATTTTTGAACTTTTTTTCAAGATCTCCTTTGATCCGCTACTATATATAACATTACTAAAAGTCAAGCAACCTATAAAATTGTCATAGACTTTATACGTAAGTTTTAATAAAAAATACGTATTCCATTTTTTTTATAAATTATTTAAATTGCATAATCTTTTTTTATATACTTCTACTTAATTAAAATTAAATTCATTTACTGTTTATCTTTGTGTATATTATATTATTATATTTTCAGAAAAATGATTTTTTTGTGCTTAAATTATAGCTTGCTTCTAGTTTACGTATTTATTTACAATAAACAACCAATTACTGAATAACGTTTAAGAAATCTGAATTGCATGTATCGACTATTTTATTTTTATAAAAAAATGTGGTTTACAATAATATGACTACGAACTAGTTAAGTGAATCTATCCGTAATTCCTTAATCCTATACAATATCGAATCTAAAATCATTCAATAATTATTTGCCCCATTCTATAACTGGTTATAAACGTGTCACGAGTAAAATCAACTTTCAGTCTCCTCAGATTAGCTAATTAGTCTTACGTTTGTATTCTTGTATTTATTTATTTATTGCAAAACTTAAATAGATTTAAATATTTAATATATTAGCAGACATTTACATCCGTATAAATTATAAGATATTGCCTATAAAAAAAAAAAACACAACTTTCATTTGAGTTTTCTCTCAAATCCCATTGCAATAAAATATAATATGCATAGCGATCATACTATTATACCAGGAATTGTTTTTATCTATATTTTTCGTATATTTAAGTTTATTAATAGAGTATAACAAAATATTATTAAGGATAATTTAATTTGTATGGCTTCAACTTCCATATTAGATGCCTAGACAAGCACGGCACTAGAATTTTTTTCAGGGGGGGGGGGGTGGCAGAGCGGGGCAAATATTTTTTTATATGGGCTAAGGTTTTTTCAACAAATACTGAGGTTATTTAAATAAAATATAAATTTTTTTATGTACCATATGTATGAAAATGTTAGATCACAGACCTTCAACAACTATATTAATAATGATGTACAAAAATGATAATTTCTTTATTACATACCTTTGTGAATGAATAATTATGTTTCTTTTACTTACAATTCATAAATATAAATTAAATTAATTGTGTTTAGTAATGAACAAATGAATTTGTTTTACTCTACTTTTAATGCAATGATTTAGGATACTTTTGTTTGTTTATTTTCATCCAGTGATTGGTACTCAATAAGGTTAGGTAATAATAAATGATTAAAAGATTTTTTTTCTTATTTTACAAATTTCAAAACATATTTTATTAAAATTGTAGTAGATTTTTTCCTTATTAGATAATACTAGTAGGTTAATCCTCCGTAAAAAGACTAAAGATGTTATTTGTTCAAACTCCATTAATTAAATTATTATAATCTATACTCAATTAAATTTATTTAGTAGTGATTATTATATATTAAGTGACAAACATATTAAATTAACTAAATATTGATATTTTACACAATATCTGTTTATGCACTAAACACTAAATGATCGAAAATCTTAAAACGTTAAAATAGTTTAAAAAAAAATGTATTAAATTTCATCAATATCAGTAGGAATAATATTTTTTTAAATAAAAATTTGTGATTACCTACCTAATATTTAACTAGTAAATTTCAAGTTTTTAGTTCAATATATTTTTAAATTGGTATTTGCATAGTATATTATGTATTAAAGAATCTACTTTGTATTTTTGTTGAATTTTGGAGGTTAAAATAGTTCATGTATATGAATAATTATAAAATATAAAATATTATAAAATAATCTCTTATATTAAAAAGTAAATACTTAAAGAAATTCTTTCTTTTTATTAATTATTAAGTAACTTCTTACACAATATTAGTGTATTAATTAAACATATTAAAAATAATAAGTAAACTAAAAATATTTTTAATTGTATACAATAAACATTAAATGAAGTTAATAATATTCTTCGGTTTTTGTGTATAAAATATTTATATTATTAAATCGGTTTTTATAACAGCAAAAACATAAAACACATATCTTCGAAAATACGAAAGTATTTACATAGGTAATATTACTAATTTTTAAAAAGTATATTTCATAAATTCTCTGATGTAGCTCTTTTAAAAATAATTTTTTATGACTTTATTATATCGTACATATTTTTTAGTAGGAGGCTGACGAAAGGGCTGAATTGTTTTCTGGAGGGGGGGGGGCTAGAGCCCCACCTTGCCTCCCTTTGGCGCCGTGCCTGCGCCTAGACTGCAGAGCATTAAGTAAATATGTACCTAATACATATGTTTGTTACAATAATAATATAATCTATATGGTCAATATAATATAAAACGTGATAACATGTAATATGTATGGCCGTTAAAAACTACGAAATATATTTCACAATAAATTACTGTATACTGTGTTAAATATCTCTCAATCTTTTTTATACGTTTTAGATTCCGAACGAATGTATGAATGTAATTGATTTTACAATGATGTGAGTGTGTTTTTTTTTTCGTAATGTGCATACGATAAGTAGTTGATAATAATATACTTTGATTTTTATCTTTGAAGATGGTTTTGAATAGAAAATTGAATTTAGTTTGTACTTAGAAGAAGTCAAAAATAAAAATTTCCAGCACTTTTTTTAAAATCGAAAAAATCCAATTCTCGAAAAAACCGATTTTGATTTCTGTTTTTTTGTGGAACTCAAGAATGAATAACCGCAGATATTTGAGATTATCACCAAATATTTATATGATCATTTTTTATTTACGATCAAGTTTTCAAAGTATTTTAACCTTTTTAAGCCTTTTATAGGTGTGAGACACTTTTAATTCTTTTACATGTAGTTTATATTATTATTAATTTTACATTCGCGATAATATTTTTGATTTATTATAATATATTATCTATTTATACTATATGAACTTATTTTTACTAATTTACATTATTTACAGTGTTTTTTTTTTATACTTTTTACGTTAAGGTGGTCTTGACTCTAATAAAAATAATATAATAAATGTAATGTTTTCATTGAAAATTGAATCAATGTACCGTAATACTAATAATAAAATTAATTGCTTCAATATCAATATCAAAATCATAACATGAAAATAAATGTACTTGTGATATGACCGTTTTCAATAAAAACCGTTATAATATTCCTAATTATGATATATCATTGAATTCAAATTTAATATATCTATTTAAATAACCTATCTTCTGTAAAGCAGTGGTACTCACTTTTCTTTCTTATAAAATATGTATCTAATTATTTTGCATAACTAATGAGTAGTAAAAACCAATTTTAAATGTAATGTAACAACTTAATATATATAATTTATATTATCCATTTAGCTTGATAACACATTAAAATCAGAAATTCAATTAACATCTACAACTATAACAATACTTATTATAGTTATGAAGAGCGTGACATAATATTACTCACGAAACACTGCACTAAGTTTTCTAAAATTATGGTACATCTAGTAAATCTCTATGGATTTTTATCAAAAGCAGACTGAAAATTTTTAAACTTGAAATAGTTCATACTTAAAGGCTTATCGACAGTACACAAAACGCACTTTCTGAAATAAAATGCAAACACAAACGACACGTTAACTCTATAATACCTACCAATTAGTCAGTCTGGCATTTTAAACTCAGTTTTTGATAGATCTATACATATTATTATACTGTATGTATTACTAAGTTTCAGTTTATTTTGTTTTTAGTCATCATTAATATTTCAAACACGGTATAAATCGTTATTATGTAATATTATAATTTTCAGTGATCCAAACAAGTATTACACTTAAGTCATATTACCATAGTTGTGAAAAAGGTATGCAAGCCATAGAAGGAAGCAATTTAGTTTAATTTTATTCACAAACATAGTAAATATACAGTAAACCCTGACTTATCGAATACGTGTATACTTGTATATAAAGGACACCTTTCTTAACGGACAAAATGACTAGGTACCGGCAAAAAGATATGCATTCCAATGTATTTCGACCTATCTATTATGGACTCCTTCTATTACGGACACAAACACTAATATTTAACCTGACAATTTCATAACGGACAAAAATAATATAAAACAGCGTTGATAAGGAATGTAATTATAGGTAATTAAGTGAAAACACGGATTACGACCAATTACATTATCGCCGATTACGATAACGCTAATCGCGAGTACCTATTGAATTTATGAAGTTGAAATACATACTAGGTTAATACAATTTAATAGAAATATATCCAGATATAAATTGTAATACGTATAAATAATAACCATAAGTATCTAACATTTTTATTCAGTTTCTATCGGTTCGCAGTCAGAGTTGTACATACATACATATTTTTCTTAACAATGTCACCTTACGTGCCACGTAAAACTTTAAATTTAAAACAAAAGGTAGACATTATTCATTTTAAAGATTCTAGCGAAGGTTGGTCTATTCGTAAACTTGCTGAAAAATTTGGCATCGGTAAAACGCAAGTGGCTGAAATTTTAAAGAATAAAGAAAATATATTACGTCGATACAAAGAAAATTCTCGCCGATTCCAGAGAAACGGGCCAGGTGAATTGATTGATAAAATTGTTTTAGAATGGTTTAACCATGTTAGAAATAAAAATGTGCCTTTATCTGGACCAATCATTCAAGCAAAAGCTTTAGAAGTTGCGCGTGAAATCGAGTGTGACGATTTCAAAGCTTCCAATAGTTGGTTAGAGAGTTTCAAGGTAAGGCATAATTTAGTTTTTAAATCGATTTGCGGAGAATCGACTTCTACAAATCTAACAATTGTGAATAAATGGAAATCGAAAATTTCGGAAATAATGATAGGGTATGAGCCACAAAATATATTTAATGCTTATGAAACTGGTCTGTTTTACCGAGCATTGCCAGACAAAACGTTTTCCTACAAAGGGGAATCATGCTCTGGTGGAAAAATAGCTAAAGAACGTTTGACTATTCTTCTGTGTGTCAGTATGTCCGGAGAAAAACTTAAACCACTTGTCATTGGAAAATCTGTCAAACCAAGGTGTTTTAAAGGAATTGATATTAGTAAACTAGAAGTAGAATGGAAGGCGAATAGTAAAGCATGGATGACTACTCATATAATGACAAATTGGCTTCAACGACTCGATCAACAAATGAAAATTCAAAATAGAAAAATTTTATTGTTTCTTTATAATGTAACATCACATGCACATCTGTCTTTAGACAACGTAACACTTATTTTTTTTCCTCCAAACATAACATCAACTTTTCAACCTTTAGATCAAGGAATAATCAAAAATTTCAAAGTTTTTTACCGCAAGTTCGCACTACAACACATTATTGCAAATCTAGATAACACTCGAAATGCACACGACCTGGCAAAGCAAATCGATGTTTTAAAAGCGATTATATGGGTGAAAAAAGCATGGACAGAAATTTCATCATTTACAATCACAAACTGTTTCAAAAAAGCAGAATTTCCGTTTAGTGAACCTCCAGAAATCGAAAATGAAGTGAATAACAATGAATTGATTAAATTAATGGAGTTTCTTCCGTTGCCTAGAAACGACGATTTTGCCACGATAGTCAGTAATTTGTCTACAGAATGTAGCTCAGATGAAATAGCTATGATTTTAAATAACATTCAAACTGAATTAAATCTCATGGATACCGATGATGAGCAGCAAGCTGATGACCAACTAGAAAATTCTGAAGTTAAGACGTTTAAAAATTATTCAGAAGCTCTTGAATAGTTTATTCGTCTGAAAGAGTTTTATTTGAATGATAAGGTGATGAAAAAGGGTTTTCATACGTGAGCGAATTAATTATCTATCACGAGTTGGAAATGACCAAATCGAAGTTCAAAAAACAAACATCAATACAATCATTTTTTAAGAAATAATTAAATAATATGTAATAAATTCATAATGTGTAATTGTATGTAATATAAAAATAATAATTAAAATTACATTTATATTGTATGAGTATAATTTATAATATTAATAAAGAGTATACTTATATTATAAAATATAAAACAATATTAATAAAATGTACGAAAAAATTGTATACATCAAATTTGTAGATTAATTTTATTTTTAAAACATTGAAACCTGTCTACAAAGAACAATTATTTTGGTCCCGTGACTGTCCGTTATATACAGGTTTCACTGTACCTTTCATACATAAAATATACCGCATAAATTAAACATTTTAAACTAGTGTGTCATGGATCCAAGGTCATCTACTGATATTATCATGGTACTCTCAAATTTTTATTTCTAGAACATTTATCACAACTTATTATTCTTTATTTTTAAAAATACTTTACTGCATGCAAATTTAACAATACAACTGGATTAAAGAAGCTTTTATTACTTAACCACCGACAGAACTAACAATCTGTGTACAAGAACATATAACACACTTATCTAAATCGACAGATTCTGTAATAAGATCCGAATTTGGGTTATCATCATTACCTAACTAAATTTTGGATAACTTAAAAGAAATATTATCTGATTGTAACAACAAGGCTATATATCCTAACAAATATTGTTTTTAGATGATAACAAATTAATTAATATCTTAATTCATTGTTAAGTACATATTTTTTTCCAAATTTAAATTACAAATATTTATAAAAATAATTATGTTACTATATTCTTTAGAATTTTTAATCTCAATATGAACTATTCATAAGAAAAAATTTACTAAATGTTCATATCTTAACTATTAAATTAAAAATTTTACAATTTTCTAACTACAAAATACTTGTACTTTGTAAATTGTCCTCGTAACTTTGAAGAATTGTATAAAAATTTGAACTTCGAATGCATATAAAAAAAAAAATCATGATTTGATAATTTTTAAAAAAATATAAGAACAACTTATAATATAGGATATCGTATTAAATTTTCAAGAATTTTGATCATTAAAGAACTTTAATCTAACTTTTTTTGAAAAAATCAAAAAGTTTTCAAGCTCAAAAAAATTCAATTTTTACCATGTATAAGAAAAAATATAATCCTTAGGTAAAAATTCCAAGTACCTATTTACAAATATTTATTTTTGAATTATAACAAAAATTCGAAATCGATTTTGTGTAAAAATTATCGTTTTATCTTAATGTCCTGTTTGTTTTTCGAATTATCCTGATATACGAGTATATTCACAATTTTGAACTTTCTAAAGCATTAACTAGATACAATTTGCTATCCTTAATCATCCAAAATGTTAAAAATCAAAATCATTTTATTGAATATACTTATTGTACTCACATTACAAAAAAAACTTAAAAATTGTAAAATCAGTACATTTATCGCCTCACTCAAAATCTAAAATAAAATTGTACAATAATATAATTACACATTAATTTTACTTCTTAATAATGTTAGATTAAATAACATACATTTGTTTATTTTATTATTATCATGGGAGTTGTTTAAGATGATTTCAAAATCAAAAGAGTTATAGACCCAAAAATGTTAAACCCCTGGCCATAGGCGCCTCAAGAGAGGAGCAAAGGGGGCAATCCCCGCTCCTAGAATTTTAAATTTTTTACCAAATTATAATAATTGTAAAAACGAAACATAATAATATTCTATAAATAAAATATATAATAATAATACCTAATTGTTATAACGATGAAACATAATAATGTACTATAAATAAAATAGAAGTATAAAATGTATAAAAATATTTATTTAATTTTTAATTAATTTTTCCCCATCTAGAAAAATGTCTAGGGATGCCCATGACCCTGGCGTATATTATTCAAAGGAAGTATTAGTTCAAGATTGTTTTAACATCTAGCTACCGTAATACAAGAGGTTAAGGTTAAACTATTTATTCATACTTAATAATTCCATAATTTTTGTATTTGTAGTAATAAAATGTGTAGTAGGTATATGATGAAGTAAAAATAGCCAATAACCATTTGTATTTTAAAGTAGTGAATTTAAAAAAAATAGTAATTAGAAGATCTAATCTATTTGTGAAGCTATAGTGTTTTTCAATCGTCGTTTTGTCTGTGTTCACTGCAAATCATCAGTCATCAGTGTAATGAATATGTTAAATTATTGTATACAAAAAACTGGTTCTAATCAGAAACTGTATTATTTTCTATTCAAATCTGTTTAAATGCTGAAAAGTATCAGTAATTATTTTAACAGAAAACACAATAATAGCAAATCCTTTTCGCAAAATAATTTTCATTCATTTTTTTAAAGATTGAATAAATTATTAATATTAATATAAATATTAAATGTACAAAAATTATAGAATATTCTTATGAATAAAAGAGGTATCAGTTAAAATTGTGAAAAATAATGATATTTAATAGAAATGGTGAATATCTTTACAGTGGAAACAGTAAATGTGAAAAGTCAGAAATTAAAAATAAAAAAATTTTGAATCTATAAATTTATTAATCGATAGAGACTCGTAAAGCTATATTGATCAATATCTAATATTAAATATCTATATATGTCTAATTTATGAAATCAATTGTATAATAGTGAACAGTTTTTGTACAGAACATCACTGTCTCATTTATTAAAAAAAAAAAACCTCATAAAAATATGTATTATTTATAAAATAATAATATTATATAAATAATATATTCAATCAAATAAAATACTAAATATTATTCGATTTGTGTTATTATACAATATACCATTGTTTTAATTATATATAAGACCTATAATATAGGTATATTATGTATGATAATAATTAACGAAATATTTGAGAAAAACATATAGCCAAATAAAAAATAGATACAAATGTACCAGTAAAATCAGTAAGTCGTCCCGAGTATCTGCGCATTTATAACTTACGTATCATTTCTGTGTACGGAATATTTTATTGTAAGGTATTGCTTTATTTGAAACCCAAAATAATTGAACAATGTGTCTTATAAACATGGCATGTTAGCTTATACATTTATGTGGTAGATGATTTTTAGGTAATAAAATATAAAAGAGCTTAATATAACTCAGTAACGATATAGGAATTAGAACGATTCATATAAACGATTCACATTTATATAAATATATAATTTAGCCAAGTAAAACATACAAAATATTGTGTTATTTGAAAATATTGGAGAAAGTAAGTTACAATACATCCATGCATCACAATATAAAATGTCTGTCTTATCTAGATTTATTTATTTTTTTTTTTTTTGTCAAATAAATATAATAAATATTGTGTTATTTTATTTTGATATTCTATCAGTATAAAACGATTTTCTGAGTATTTTTCAAACGAAAATAGACAGATGAAGGATAGAATGACAGACTGCTACCTGCTAGTAAAGTTTAAACAGTCTCGTCTGTATTTGACGACCTGCTATCCTACTGATAGACAACTATTTGAATACATTATATTACCGTTGACTTGTACTGTTTACAAAACATTATTAAAAATGGTCCAGTAGATAAATATGTCATGTGATCAAATAAATAGTTAAAATACTAATCGTAATCCGAGTGTATATATAAAGACTTATTTGGTACCTATTATTTTAATAATGTCGAAATAACTATTTTAAATCTGCTAGTTTAATGTTTTTACACGAAATGAGAATAGGGTGTAGAATATTAACAAAAAATAAAAGCATAAACAATACGATTTAAATCAAATATACTTTTAGAATTTAAATGAATATTCACAGAATCGTGTTCGTTATTCATATACTAACGTTCTTAATTTCTGTTGAGTGAGGACAGTTTCCCAAAAGAAATTTCCTACTCCTTGATAAACATTTATTTACTAGGTATATATTATTATTATTATATTAGTTTAGATCACCTTCTTAGTAGTAAAAAAGAAAATTTAGTCGAATTTATAAGGAGCGCTTAAATTACTTTGAATAAACCTCTAGTTTAAATAAGCGAACAAACTCGCAATAATTTTATATCAAAATACTTAGTTATTAATTTTTTATTAGGTATCTCAAATTCCAGCAAATTAATTTAGGAAATATTATATCATTGACTTTCAAAAAAAAAAAAAAATAAATACAACTTTAAGGAACAAAAATATTAGGTATCATTTTATAATTTTATTTCTTTAAAACGAAACAGATTTCAGAATGCATAATATATATATATATACATATTTACCTTATTAACTATGTAATTTTAAGACATATTTAAAAATGTATACATATTAAAATACAATATAATATTATATATATACTAATATACTATGTACTAGAGTTAAAAAGTTAATGAGCTTAGTTAAATATATTAATATTATTGGCTTCAACAATTTTATGCATCTTAAAATACCTATTTCACATTATAATATTATTAAAAAACTTTGTTCAAATGTAATTTCAAATAAATATTATTCTAATCAATAATCCGTATAAATTTCAAGTTTTTAGATTCATATATTTTTCAAATTAAGTTAATTTATCATAAGCTTGATATATTTACAAACTTAACTTTGAATGGCAACAAAAATAAATTTACCACTCTGATTTTTATGAAATTTGAACTTAATATATAAATCATTATTAATTATAATTTATGAATAATAATATTTTGAAACAATAGAACTTGTGTGCGTGATTTGTACCAAAAAAAAAAAAAAATATATAGTAACTAGTAAAATTAAAAAAAGTTCTTTTATTCACATAAAATGGTAAATTTGTCCACATAATTTAATACCAGATGAATATTATAGAAAAATATATTTTTACAATAAGTTTGCGATTATTAAATATACGAATTTTGGTATGGAAAATTACGAATATATTTTAGTATAAAGTAGTATATAATGTTCAATCGACTTCATGTTATTTAAGTAAGTAAAGATCAATATATTTTCTGTTAATAAATTACTATATAAACTTCGAAATCTATAATAATTGTGTGTCTACACAGCTA